TGAGTTTATTGGTACATTTTAGGTATACAGTACAGTTACATTCATTATTGGTATCTTGTACCTTTATATGACAGGTCTTGGTTCTCATTTTTCTCCCCTTGTCCCTGCCCTCCCTTCGCTCCCTCCTCCCCTCCCCACTTACAGATACTTTATTTCCATTTTTCATTTTGTCATATTTTTTTTCTTTTCTCTTATTACCTTTCCCCTACCCTTTCCATTTTCCCTACACCTTTAGCCCTTTTCTTCCTATTTCACGTGGTTAATTATCTCTTTAGGATCTTATGTACTATTATAGCTTTTCACAGCAGAGAAACGATTCTGTATTTACATATGTGTGACTTATGAAAACAACACTGAGATTCCACCTCACCCCACAAAGAATGGCTGCTATCAAGAAATCAACCAATAAAAAGTGTTGACAGGGCTGTGGGGAGAAAGGAACCCTTCTCCATCGTTGGTGGGAGTGCAGACTGGTGCAACCACTATGAAAATCAATATGGAGATACCTCAAAGAGATGGGACTAGAGGTTCCATTTGACCCAGCCATGCCTCTGCTGGGTATCTTTCCAAAAGAATTAAAGGAATCATACCACAGTGATATATGAACACCCATGTTTATAGTGGCACAGTTTATAATAGCTAAATCTTGGAAACAGCACATTTGCCCATCAGTTGGAAATTGGATAAAGAAGATTTGGTCTTTCTATAAAATGGAATACTACTCAGCCATAAAGAATGAGAAATTAGATTCATTCATAGGAAAATGGATACGTATTGAGGATATACTCCTACGTGAATAAATGCATCTGTAATTTTTAATGACCAACTTTTTCTTCAGCCACAATCTTTCTGTCAAGCAATTACCATTGCCTTTTTTCTCTGACTGGACTTTTGTTGAAATTTTGTCATCTCACTATACTATTCTCTGGTCACTGCTCAACTCTGGGGTAAGTATACATCCAAAGCTCACCAAAATATGTAATGAATACTCTGTATACTCTGGGTCTGATGTTTGCTCAGTGGTGTCTTTCAAATGTTACTCCTTTCAATCTTTCATTTTGTTTTGTTTTGACTTGGTTTTGTGAGACAGAGTCTCACTATGCAGTTCAAGCTAGCCTTGAACTCACTATATAGCCCAGGATTGCTTTGAATTCGCAGTGACCCCCCTTGCTTCAGCCTCCCTAGTACTGGGATTACAGGCATGTGCTATCACATTCAAGACTCCTTTCAATCTTTTAATTACCTTGAACCCTATATAATTGAAAGGGAAATATGTAATTATAAATGACATTATATACATGATGAAAACTTTCTCACTCTTCTTCCTAGCAACCAACTTTACATCCAAAAGGAATAAGTCTATCTTAGTTTTAAATATATTCTGTAATTTACCTTTACATATTTATGTCCATCCTGGGCTGGAATGATCAACATTGTATCTGTCCAAACTCTACGCAACTTTGAACTTTGGCCAAGCTCTATGTTCTGCATGAGATTAATCCAATTACTTCAACCAATGTTAATTTATCATGTTTCTTATTTATTTTTTCCTAACTATAGATATTAGCTCCAGTGTCCTCTTCAGTGTATGATACAAGGCTGAGGAAAAAAAAAACAAAAAAAAAAAAACAAGACAGAGCTAAAGAGACAGAGAAGCCAGGAAGCCAGGACAGCGAATGCTACTGAATTAGCAAAGGCACTGGTCTGTCCAAGGAACTGATTTTTATTAGTAATCCACTGTGATAAAGGCAAGCTACCTGTGAGTGCAGGACTGTGTGCAAGGACATGCGATTCTTCAGTTTATATGGAAACTAATGGAGGGAAGACTTGCAAAAGAAAAAGGAATTAGGAACAATATATCGTGATAATCCGAACATTGTCTTTCTAGTTAAGAAAGTTTTAATTGTGGGAGTAGAATTTGGGTGTGAGTTACTCTGAGTTCAGCAAGCAGGTTTCGGCCAGATTCACTTCTATACACAAGTCAATTGTGGGGTTGACTCTTTACAGCCTGAGCTGCTTACAGCCTATTTTAGGCATAATCAATACTGCAATCCCTGCAATGAAAATGTTATTTCCTACCTATTGATATTATTTTTTCAACTAAATTGAAAGCCTTTTGGACATTAATTATTCTTGCAAAGTGGCTTTCTAGAAATGCCTACTTTGATGAGTTGTGTCCCCTTCTATTTCCTTTAATTAGACCTAATTTTCAAAAATTAAGATGCATTTAAAATAGTCTCATAAAAATTGAAATCTTGGCATGTAAAAATGAGATGGTGTGGACCCTAGGAGACATAATTTTATTTCATTTCTCTCTAAAGCTGCTAATCTATGGCCATTAGAAGATCAGTTTATTACTATATTTTCCCTTTCCATCTACCAGGAATGGTATATGAACATTCTACCAACACATTTTCCTCTTTGTTTTACATCCAGAGGCACCCGCATGATTCATAAGCATTAATTATGGTACTGTGTGCTGCTATTAGTGCTTTTTGTTTACACACCACACATTTCAGAACATTTTGATTCAATTTACTCTTCAGGCCTAACATTCAAGCATTTTTATCTTTCTGATTCACATCTTAAAACTTCCATTATTATCTTTGCAAAGTGTTGACCCTATGAGCCACGCCGTGGTCGGTACTAAGAAATTAATCAAATGTATTTGTTTTCAGACTTAGACCTGGATTAGAGTACCAATTTATGGGGAAATAAGTCAGTGTATAAACAAGATAAAAATATAAACAAGGCAAGGAAAGTACAACGTGAAAATGTGAATAAAGAGCATATTCCACTTTTGAAAATGACTAGAACATGGCCTAGTTAGATCACTTACTCTCGTTTCCAAACTGTCTTCTTTCACAAAATGAAAAACATGTATAATATGCTTTCCAGAACACAGTTTTAAAAAAACACCTCTATAACTCCTATTATGAAAGAGGGCATAAGAAAAATTCTCTTACGTTTTGATGATATTCTTCCATGCTTTTGTTATAATTCCTTTGTTATTAATATTTATATTATGTTTAAAATTGAAATATTGTGGTATACTGGTGTTTAAATAACTTTCATTACATACATTAAAAATGACTTTCTCTTGTATATATTATTTTAAGCTACTATTAAAATATGTCCAAAACTAAAATTAGGCCAAAATGTCATGTTAACGACAGCTGTTGCTTGAAAAATCAAGATGTTACCTTTTCATACTATTTCATGCATACACACACACACACACACACACACACACACACACAGAGTCTAAACTTTGCTTGCAAGATATAGTTTTAGTGGTAGTGAATCTGTTTTTTTACAAAAAAGTTATTTTTTAAATGAGTGAATCAAGTTCAGTATTTATAACACTACCAAAATAGAACAAAATTTGTGTAACTTCTATTCTTTGAAACTGCAGGTTATGCTGAGAAAGAAAAACTAGAGAATAACTACTCTAAACAATTTTTCTCTGAGTAGCATCTTCAGTTAAATGTCCTCAATTGTTATAAAATTATTTCTTCTGTTAAAATATTAAAGAAAATCAGTACAAAGTTTCATCTTTTCTTCTAAACAAAAGATAAGCAAAGGCCTAATAACAAAATAAAATTTTGTTGGATGTAGTATAAAGATCTGTGTGTAGTCTCATTATAAATTAAATGTTACTTTCTGCTAGTTAATCTAATCTAATCTAATCCTATTCATTTATTCAATATCTCTCAAGTATTCTAAAATTCATGGCATTTTTTAAGACATAAAAAGAAATAGAAAGGAACCATGAAAATTTATCTGTCATTGTGGATCAAATTCTGTATGTCCCCAAATAAATCGCTACACAATACAGTAACTGATGACTTACTGATATATTTTCATGTGTGGGAGAATATAGAGCCATAATACTTATTGAAAATGATACATATTTGCTGCTGGATGCATGGTTGAGATTTTGTAGCAAGTTCCCTGTGAAAGGAACATGCAGTTATTACCACATAGAGATTAGGACGCTAAGTTTTTCTTAGTATGAATTGGAAGCAATTGTTGCAGTAATGTCTCCTGGTCAAAGTTTTTGAACTGGCTTTTTCTGGATAAGAAACCAACAAACAAAAAACACTGGATAGACTCAACATTTATAATAGTTTTTGCAGCCTCGCTGAGGTAGAAAATTGGAAAAGTGATGAAATTTGGGCTTGAATCTGTCAGGAAAAATAATCAAGTGCTTGTGAAAGCTATGTATACATATTTAGTTCTTCAGTCTTTTTGCTTAACAGTCTCCTTAAATAACAAAAATGCAATAGAATGTATGTGGTACAGTAGAAAAATTGATAAATAGTTAATAATAAATTTCATAAAATATAACTTCTAATTAAAACATAGAAAGAATAAAATAAATTGTGAGGCAGAAACAAACCCTGAATATGTGTAATTCAAAATGTAAAGATGAAATATAGAACACTTTACTCCACAGGATGGTAGATATTCAGTCTACTACAAGAACCAATTACATAGATAGGATGCATTAAAATCATGCTATAGGGGGAATGAAACTATCATTAGGTAAATAAAAACCATGCACAAGAAGCAAAGTTTAAACTAAGGTTGTAGCTCAATGGTAGAGCACTTGCCCAGTATATTCAGTGCTATGGATTCAATCCCCAATGCTAGTAAACAGAGACAGAGACAGAGGTGGATGGAGAAAAGCATACACAATGTTTAAGAACTTCAAATAATAAAACCAATTTTATTAACTATTTGAAATTATTCACACATACATAAAATAACAAATTTATTTTTTAAATATACTTTACTTCCAAATTAGTTTTATAGGTCTTGTATATTAGTTTGAAAAAATGTTCAAACATGTATTTATCTATATCCAAGTATATGGTGCCAAAGAAAATGAAAGTTCTAGACATGTTATGCTATAATCTATGAATGTACTTTCAAGCATATTTGGTGTATTTTATAAGCACTACTGAATTATGTATATATAAATGTAAAATTGAATTTTATATTAACATTCATATTCATATATCTATATTTACACGAATCTGTTAGTAGTTAAGACTGTATATATTATTAATAACAAATTAATTGACTTTCCATTGCTAAGACAAAATATCTGACATCCAGAGGAAGAGCGATTTATTTTAACTCGGTTTCAGAGATTTTGGACTATGGTTGGCTGGTTCCATTGCTGATCTGTTCTGATGATGGGTTTGCGGGGGATCCCTGCTCAAGCTGGAAAGCAGGGAGGACTGGAGAGAGAGAGAGGGAAAAGAGCCAGTGACAGTGCCCAGGGTCATAGCTCTATGATGCATTTTCTCCAAATAAGTCCCTCCTCCTCACAGATCATTCTGTGAATTTACTTATAAATTAAGGAGGTTATACCCTCACAATAAAATCACCTTTTCAGAAGTAATTTAACCCAGTCAAACTGAGAAGACTGACCTCCACAGGTAGCATTATATATTGAATACAACATTTTCATTCCCTGTATAATACTACAGAGAACTAATTAATTATATTAAATTAGGTTAAAATTAGGTTTAACAAAAAAGGGTGCAGGCATTAAGCAATCCATTACAAGGTTTATTTGTTTGGGAATATAACTATTAGCAGAGCTCAGTATAACTAAATTAAATAGGGCGCAAGATTAAAGACCAAAAGAGGAACATAGATTGATCGGTACCTATGGATTAATATGGATTGAAATAAAAGTAACTGAAAAGTAACAATATTTGATTCCAAGGTATTTATGCAGAGAATATATTCAAATAAATAAGTATATTCATGTAATTATATCAAAGCATAATTAAAAAAATAAAATGGTAAAGTCAAATAAATACCCCAAAGCAGAATATTAATAGATTATATTATCCTGCATCTACTTTTAAAATACTATTATTAAATTTCCTAAATTCTAAGAGTATTTAATGTCAACTTAGATATTAACAAAATAAGAAGAAATAAAATATACCCACAATATCTGTATAATTTATGTATTTATTTCCAACATTTTTCAATAGTTTATACATAAAGCAAAGTATCAAAGGTTATTTGCATTTTATATATTTTTTTATTTTATATTTAGTAATGTACATAATCACATATCACCTGAACCATTATATAATTACTGTTTTAAATTGTTTTATTAATAAACTCTAACATTTTAATGCAGATGTTTAATCAAAATTATCATAAGTTAAAGACATAAAAATAAATGAGGATTTAATATATCAAGTCATAAATATACTTGTTAAATCTCTCTAGACATATTTGGATTAGCTTCTTTTAGCGATGTATTCTTCAGAATATTCCCTTCAGTGTTTTTTGAGGAATTTGTTTTAAAATTTATACAATTATGAATGGATTTGCATTTCATAAGGCTCCATGGAAATTTAATAATGTATATTAACTTGCCTGCTACTTTAATTTGTTCTGTTTTATTGGTGACAGAATCAAGAGCATTTTCAGTACGACATGTTAGCTAGAAACTGAAATGTATTGCAGTGCCACAATGCCCTTTGATATCAAATATTAACCAATCATTTAAAAAAAGCTAAAATAGAATTAAGTAACTTAATAAATAAAAGTTTTCAATTTGTATACATTGTGTTTGATCATGGTTAATATTTTTGGTGAAGAAAGGCAACTCTCATATATGAGAAACCCACAATATAAATAAAGAGCTAAATAAAAGATAGATATAGGAAATCCTTCCAAAAAGGGAAGGAAAAAGAAATGGAAGGTGGTGGGAAGGAGAGGAGGAGAAGTGGATGAAAAAAGAATTAAGATACATTTTATATATATACTAATTCCCCACTAGAAATATGAAATATGATCATTATGTTCTGAAAACATGTACCAGTAAAAAAAAAAAAAAAAAAATTACCAGAGGGCATGGTGGTGCAATGCCTATAATTCAAAAACTTGGGAGGCTGAGGCAACAGGATCACTTCGAGTTTGAGGCCAGCATGGGCTACATACTGAGTTCAGGACCAGCCTGAATTATATAGTGAGACCCTGACCCAATAAATAAATAAAAGACTTGATGAATGTCTTTTCTCTCCTTGCTGAGACAAAATACCCAACACTCAAAGTTAAAGGGGAAACAGTTTATATAGCTCAAAGTTCATAGATATTTTAGCCCATAATTGGCTGGCCCCATGGCAGGGTAGCAGAGGGGCAACAGTTCATGGTGGCACAAGGCAGCAAAAACAATGAGACTGTAAATTCCTCTCCTTACTCCTTTTATCTTACTCAGACAATGTAGGGCTCATGCCCTTAATCCTAGTGCCCTTGGGCCTAGCCTCAACATGAATCAACCAGACACTAGATTCAACCACCTCGAAAGTATTACCACTTGACATCTGGACACAAACCATAACAATGGTATTGAATTTAGAACAAAATTTTGAAAGGACATAAGAAATTGTGAAATTCATTATCAAAGACCAATCTACACAATTCTCCTCTACATACTTATGATGACAGTGACTAGCTCACTGTTCACCAATGTCTACTCTCTCTAGGTTTATCATACTCTTTAATGGACCATCTTTCTCATTACTTTGAAGGCATGTGATTTAGTTCCTAACAACTGAATGTAAGTTGTGTGAAAGATATTTATAGATCCCACAATAAAACTGTCATATCATTGTTTCTCCTTGTAGGCTAGTTTCAAGAATCCCAATGAGCTGAAAATCCACAAGAACAGCCTGTAAGTGATCAGATTATAGGATCTTCAATAAACAAACACAAGAACTGTTCTGTCCACAAGAATGAAATTTTATTCTGTAATATCATATAAAATTTGACCTTGTTATTGCCTACTCTAACATTGAAATTATTACTATCAAATGGAATAGTCTGTAGTAAAAATCTAAAATGTACAGCATCAGTGTGATTTGGGGTAGCAACCATCAGGAAATACAGATATCTGCTGATGAAGATGACTTGTAGTGAACATGGCTACTGAGCCTACAGTTGTAAGATAAATATACGAAAAGAGTAAAGCTTACCTTGTGGGTTGATGTTTGTTAGCTTTCTTGTTAGAGTATAATATGACAAAATTGTCAGGTGAGAATTTTGGCATGTTTCACAATATATTGGGAAAATGCTGGAAGTCTTCAGATCAAGAGTCTCAAAGTTTGGAAATTACAATTATATTGTATCTGGAAGCCCAACTGCAAGATGTAAGACTAAAATAAATAGACTGAATAAGACTGAATTCCAAATAGCCCAAAATGTTCTCAGTTTAAAGAAAAAGCCAAGTATTTCACTAAATTTCTTATGTTTTTGAGCATCCAGGATGAGTTTTCCAATGCCCATGAGATAGTATTATCTTTGTCTAAATAACAGGAGGATTGTATTCAGAAAATTAAACTAGGTGAAGCTACTGGTATCCAAGCTAGTTGGCATAACACAATCCTATATTTTTCTTTGAGTTATATTTCAAAGAAACCATGAACTTAGGCTTCTACTCTCTCAAAAATTATCTGATTATTCCAACAAAATGATCCTTAAATTCCAAAAATGTCAGAGTTAATAAATCAGATTTCTAAGATAGCCAACTTTATAGACCCTGACAAGAGCTGCATGATGCTTTGAAGACTAGAAGGTGGGTTGTGGATAACATATAAAGACAGACACTATATGCCAGGATTTTCTAGGCCATTGTTAGCCATGGATCAAAATGGAAAATGAAGAACCTGCCTGAGGAGAATGCTAAGGACCACTATAAGTCAGTGAAAAATCTCTTAAAGAATGTGATCTAAACAATAAAATTTTTGTATCCTGTGAGTAGAAAACCCCCGAAGGTGACAGGGCAGGATTTCAGAAATGGTACAGGCCAATCTCTATGTTGTTTTTGTATTCTTCATCTTTGTGAATAAGCTTGCTGAGCTATTTCCCCATGGGATGTCAGGTGGGTGTGGGTGCGGGTGGCAGCTGGGTGGGTGTGGATGCCAATTAATGTCTCTTTAGTGTATCCATCACTGCACCATGAGGAATTACTGAGAATTATGTATTCTTTGAAGATTTGAAATTTTAACTGGATACAATAATTAAATGGGTTTTCAGTTGGCTCTCTTAGAGGAGATACATGTATTTTTTGTTACAGCGATGAGTAACCAGACTATGGCAGAGGCTGATTAGTGTTCATCAAATATGTTTTACTTTTTCAGGGGGCTCAAACTCTATTGCTTATCCTGTCTTCCCTTCTGTTTACCTGGCGGGTTGAGCCTTGGCTAATGGAGTGGGAAAGGGGGCCCTGCCACCAACTCCAGATTTGTCCCCTAAATGCTCCTGCAGAAATATCCATGTTCTCTTTTTCTCCTGTTTCCAGCTGGATACAGAGATGCATAAGAGAAATATAAGACCTTGGGGTATTATGAAGTCACAGATGGATGAAGCCACACTCCTCAAATCACCACCAAACACCAGTATTGATGTATTACATGAGCGAGAAACGAGCCTCTGTAGTGTTAACCACCTGAAATTTGTGCACAGGAACAGTCAGCTGAGCCAAGCAAATACACTGGTTCAGTGACTCTCACGATCCATGCTGGTACTCATTTCCAAGCTATTCACACCTGTATAGAGTGAAGACAATAATTACCCAGACATGGATTAATGTATATGAAATATATGTGTAAAACTGTTAAGGTTAAAAGAGCAAAGGAAAGAATAAAAAGTGAGAGTGGAAGAAATCCCAGCAGATGCTGGTAAATAGAAAAGAAGTCACAGAAAATTTTAATCTATTCCTGAAGATGGCCTCAGAGATTGTCAGGAAGGTAGGTAAATCCATAGTTGATCCTAGTGCCTCTTTTCTGTGGCTTGACAACTATTTTCCCAACAAATTTAAGTAATTTCAGTTTTAGTTCTATAAAGTGATTGACTGATATGGTTTCCTGCAACTTTTTCCTTGAATCAGAGAATACTAATGTTCAATAAAATTGAAAGAGAAAGCTTTGAGCTTGAATACATGGAAAATCAAATGCAGAGATAAGAGCTGGATTGGAATTTAAGAAAGAGAAGAAACAAAACATGACCACATCTGTCTAACTGCATGAGAAATGTGTGGGACTTACGCTCATTATAACAGTGGGAGAGATCCAGGCAAAGGTATGGATGCATGCGTGGTTCTTTTGATCATTGAATGAAATCCTCTCCAAATTACAATTGCAGCTGAGCATAGTTTGTTAGTCCACCATAGTTTCTGGCACAGAGTAAGAGCATCATTGGAACCTGTTAAATGAGAAGGGAAAATAAATGTTTGTCAATCCTCTTTGTGTATTGGTGGCAGTTCCTTATTCAGACTTAAAGGAAATCAACATCGGTGATCCTGCTTGGCTTATTGCTCCTCTTTGTGGGTGGTCATTCAGTCTTTAAACGCTGTGTCTGAGGCTTACCGTTACCTTCCTCTTCCTGTCCCGCCTCCCACCTCTTCCTACTCTACAACATCTTGTAATTGCCTGTAGTGGTTACTCTTACTTCCTCCCATCTGTCTGCATCGTCTTCCTCCTGTAGCCCTCATCCATGAATAGGTCCCCACACTGCTTCTCAGGCATTCATTAATGTGCCCCGTGCCCTTCACTACTCCCTTCAGCTGCTCTGACAGATTACAGATAGCATCAGGCTCAATTCATATATTTGGCTTCTTTTCTTTCTACCCTCATTCTCAGAAACCGGTGTTTTACAGCATTTCTCCCACACAGTCCTGGTGGTGTTAATTAATGAACAAGTATTGATGTGAAATGTACTTACTGCAAAGGAAAGAATCCTCTGCACTGTGATTGCTGGATTTGTTTAAGATGAATTTTAGAGGGCAAGAGGGAGTATTTCCTAACCTTGTAAGTCAGCAATGATTTAAATGCAGAGGGACTTGTTTCTTTACAAAGAAACAGAAGAATGACAAACATGGAAAGGTTTGTTAGAGAATCAGAACTCTGTCCAACTTCCACCCAACAAAAGATAACAGCAGTCATTAACGGAATACGTAGTCTGTAGCCATGTTTGGTACGTGCTTCACAAAATTTTTTCATTAAGTATTCCAAATAACTCATGACAAGAGCTTCTATTATTATTATTCCCATTTTATGAATTAGAAACACTGAGCAGAAATAATCAAGTAGCTAGTAAATGGAGAGCTGCTTAAAATCCAGGTTTTTTAAATTAAATTTTTTAAATTGATGCATAATAATTGCACATATATGTAGTTTACCATATGTGTGTTTTAACACCTCATGCTATACTGATCTCAATTTGAAATACAATGTTTTTATAATGTTTTATAATTTTCTAGATAATTCTTTTTATTTTAACCTAGATAGTAATTGTATGAGCAAAGAATTTTTACGCATCCTATTTTGTAGCTGAGGAAGTTAAAGGCCTATCATGCAATTTCCTCAAAGGATTGCCTTGTTGGGATTTGAGCCTAAATATAATATAATATTTTTGTCTTCATTTCTCACCCACTCAGTCAGTCATAACTACACAGAGAATTTCTAATCAAATCATGCACATATGTATATATTCCCTGCAGCCTTACTGAAATAAAAAACTCTTCCTCCTTACATAAGTACTGAATGTTCTTACCACAATAATGAGATGTGAACTGAGAACAAACATCAGAGTAGTTATATATTCTAGCTAAATAAAAGCAATACAGAATCACAAAGTTCCTGCTTGAGAACTTCAAAGGAAATATGTTGTCCCTATTAAGAGCTTTTAATGTAAACTTGTCTGAAATAAAATGCCTGCTATGGGGATTTTCTATGCCACACTTGGGCACATCACTGCTTGCTAGTCAATCCAACATGTAGAAAAAGAAAAATAATGGAATTTTCAGGTGTTAAATTAGCCACCCTGGGGCAACTCAGCATAGTCCCTTGAATGCAGTAAAGGAAATACACGGAATGTGACAAAGAAAATTAATTAAAACACAATAAAGACTGCCAAGTTCAAACAAATTGTGGACCCTAGCACATACCAATTCTATACCTGTGGGCCAGACTCCATGAAATACAGACAGCTGAGAGCTTGTTTTTATATTTTAATGAGAGAAAGGAAGTTTTCAGGTTTCTTAACTGTTTGGAAATCTATACCCTCCACCATGAGTTTGAAAATTCTAAGAAAGAAAATGTATTGAAGTTGAATTATCCTTTCTTCAGCAAAAGCAGCAAAGGGTTCAATTAAATTATATTTGGGCAGTGTTCTATGAGAAATTACTTTAAAGTTATTCAGAATATTTTATCAATCCAATGAAAACTAACAAAATATTTAGGGTTAGTTTCGATTTCTACTGGTTCAGTTTGCTTCTGCTAATGCTAGTTTAATTCATTTTTATCATAATATTTGTGCATCTATTTCTCTGCAACACCCAAAGAATCTTTGATTTTTTTTGGCTGATACTCAAACATGCTTTCTGTTAGGTTTTTTCCTTTAGATAAAAACTTACTTACAATTTATTATTTTTCTACTTTTTTCTATTTAGTATAATATATAGTAGAAATGTTGATGGAAGAACTCTATGGCACTCTACATTTCCTATGATCTTTTATTCTACTTTAAACTCTTCTGTTTCCTGTACTTGTTTTGGAACCTGCCTGTCCTCCATCCCTGGGCCTCTTCATCAACATCAGCGGACATCCTTCCAGTATCACTTTCAAACTACAAGGGGAGAAAATATCATTGAACTGTCATTTTCAAGCCAGTTTCTCTGAGTGAAGCCAAATTTATATCCATCAAAGTGACATGTGTGCACAGTCAAATAAACACTAACGTACATATAATATATGGCTTGTTATGTTTGGTGATAAACAGGCACTTAATTAAGTTTGAGTTTGAGGATTTGAGACTTCTTGAATTTTATCATCCACAATAAATATAGTCTTGTTGAAGAGAAAAATAGTAGAACATAGTGAAGAGACAACCCACAATGTAGGAAAACTTTTTACCAGTTGTTCCTCAGACAAAGGTCTACTATCTAGAATATATAAAGAAATTACCAAAATTAAACCTCTCAAATGTAAAGACCCAATCCTAAAATGGGCATCTGAAATGAACAAAGATTTCTCAGACAAATAAGTAGAAACAGCAAATAAATATATCAAAAAAATGTTCAATGACACTGGTTATTCAAGAAATGCAAATGAAAACAATGCTGAGATTCTATCTCACTCCAGGAACAATGGCTGCTATCATAAAATGAACCAATAACAAATGTTGGTGGGGTTGTGGGGAGAAAGGAACGCTTCTCAATTGTTGGTGAGAGTGTAGAATGGTACAATTACTATGGGAATCAGTATGGAGATACCTTAGAAAACTAGGGTTAGAGTTCCCATTTGACTTAGCTATTTCGCTTATGGGTATCTGCCCAAAAGAATTAAAAGAATCATATAACACACTGATATATGTGCACCCATGTTTATAGTGACACAGTTTGTAACAGCTAAAACTTGGAAACATCCAAGTTGCCCATGAAATGGAGACTGGATAAAGATGTGTTTTTTTTGTTTTTAATATATAAAATGGAGTAGTATTCAGCCAAAAAAAATGAAAAATTAGGAACATTTGTAACATTAAGGCCACATTTTTAAGTGAAATAAATAGAACACACATCTGTGAATTTACTTATTTCTTTAAAATCCTTTCTCCAAATACATACGTAAGACTTAGAACTTGTCAAAGATGAGGTAGCTGAATACATCTGGAGTTGGTTTTGTGTCTTCCAGTCTGTTCCACTGATCCTTAGGTGTGTTTCTTTGCCAGTACCATGCTGTTTTTATACAGTGGCTCTGTAGTATAGTTTCCAATTGGGAATTGTTGTACCCACTGCCATGTCTCTGTTGCCTAGGATGGCTTTTGCTATTCTAGGTATCTTCTGGTTCCAAATGAATTTTTGGATTATTTTTTCTAGTTCTGTGAATATAGTGTTGGAATTTCAATTGGCATTGCATTGAATCTGTAAAGCAGGTTTGGTAGTATGGCCATTTTCACTATGTTGATTCTTCCTACTCAGGAGCAGGAGATACCTTTCCATTTTCTTGTATCCTCTTCAATCTCTTTTTTTTCAGAGTGCTGTAGTTTTCAGTGTAGAGGTCTTTTGCTTCTTTCATTGGATTGATTCCTAGATACTTCATTTTTTTGGATGCTATTGTGAAAGGAATTGTTTCCCTAATTTCTCTCTCGGTGAGTCTGTTATTTGTATACAAGAAGTCTATTGATTTTTGGGTGTTGACCTTGTACCCAGCTACTCTGTTAAAAGTGTCAAGTAAGTCTAGAAGTCTTTTGGTGGAGTTCTTTGGGTCTTCAATGTAGAGTATCATATCGTCAGCAAATAATGATTGTTTAACTTCTTCCTTTCCTATCTTTATTGCTTTAATATCTTTCTCTTGTTTAATTGCTACAGCTAATGTTTCCAGAACTATATTGAAGAGGAGTGGTGATAGTGGGCATCCTTATCTTGCTCCTGGATTTTAACGTGAAGGTTTTCAGTTTTTGGCCATTTAATATGATGTTGCCTGTTGGTTTTTCATAGTATCTTCAATTTATTTTAGGCACACTCTCCCTGAATCTGGTTCTATGCCTTTCTCATACAAATTCAAGCTTCAAATATCTGTTTCCTAAATCCAGACTAAGATGCATTATTGCTCCTATCTTTCCCCTCTATTTCAGATTAGCAGATCAACAGTATCTTAATTTTCTCTCAAATTTTGTTTAAACTGCTACAATTCTTTGCTTCGAGGAAATGTCAGAAAGATCACAAGTGCATATAAATTTTTCTTTCTAGAAATATAATCATTTAAAATTGAATACATGATTTCAAATTATACATATATATAATGTTTCACTATAATGTCACTACTTTATAGTTATATTTTTGAACTTTCACATTTTATTAACACTTAAGAATATTCTCTAGAAATAAGATTTTGGATTTAAAAATGAGCAATAATAAGTTAATCATTGAGGAACAATTATTTCTTTTTATAAAAAAGAAAACATTAAAATTTTAGTAACACTTGCATCAGAATTAAGAGTATTTATAAAAAGAAACAAGGTCTTTAAATGAGAAAAATTAAAGAGTATGTTTCTAAGCTGATCAAACAAGTTTTTGATGAATAAACAGAAAACAGAAGTTGGATTTGAGCCAGATGTGAGATATATGGGCAAAAAAAGTCAAAGCAGTTTTGTTAGTGACAGAAGGCTGGAGAAAATAGGAATTTTTCACAGTGTAAGTGTTA